TTGAGATGTCATTGGATAGTCACAATAAGTCCGACATTGTCATCATCGAAGTAACGTTCCCACCTCATGGTATTCCATCCTGACATTGGAAGATGTATGCCTCCATGCCATAGGTCAATTGGGCCATTTACTTCCAGCTCCTGGCCATATTTGTACTCAAATCTGTAAGCCCCACAAACGTTGTCGCATTCCAACCCCAGTGACGACAATGGAGAGTTTTAGCTGTTCAAGTTGTTCTGCGCACATGCTCCCATGTATTTCAACATGCCTTTTGTAGTGCCTTCATGACTTCTGTTTGTATCTTTGCGTCTCTGTTAGCACCTGTTGCCTCCACTGTGTCCTTATAGCTTGTGCTTCACTCTTGAATGTTCAGCCTGTTCCACATCCTCACCTTCGTGCATAGCTCATTGTTCGTTCTCGGACCGGCGCGCGGCGCCCCTTACAAGTTATGAGTGCATGCCTGGTCATTATCTCGCTGACAGCTGCGGTAGCACTGGCATTATCATAACGGTACCTGGTTTTGCCTAGTTGGTCAACGGTGGGCTCTTATTTCAAGGTTGAGACTGACCTTGTGATGTTTCACGGGTGATGTAGAACGGTTAGACCACGTATTTGAGCGCATGCCGGTACTGTATGATGCCAAAGTACAGTCCGTCTCCTCACGACTCAGTTGGACGAAGAGATTATCGGCGCCTAGATTAGATTAGACCCCATGTCTCTTCCTCAGGCTGCATACTCTCCTTGCGACATTCCGCTCATCTTTCACATTCGTAGGATCACTCTGATCATTCTCATTGACATAACATATTTGGCTCACATGTCAAATATGACTCGAAGCGAATCTCAGCTCAAAGGCGGTGTTGTTCCACAGGCGCGAGCTCAGCACTGGCACTGGCAGTAGCCAACCATATCACAACACCACCAGTCCTTCTACCCTTACGCGAGTGTGCCTCTATTCACCAAGGACAACAGTGTACTTTCAATAATGAACCTCCATCTCTCTCACAACTCAACAACTCGCACTATCCTCTCTTCCAGCTCTGCCACCACCGCGGACGGCGCGACGCCACTTTACCACATCTATACCCCACGGTCCTTTGGTCGCAAGCCAACCGCGATCTCTTTCATATTGCCTTCCGCTGCGCGCAACTTCTCATTCAAGTCGGATATCAGAGATCGCGCGGAATACCGAGGAGGTGGTGTCGAGGGAGTTGGATGTGTGCATTGGAAGTCCTTTAGTAGTGATTTGATCGAATACGAGGGACGCCTAATGAAGGTGAATGAGTTCATGCCCACTGGCGGATTCATGTGGAAGTGAGTACTTGAGCGATTCTCAGCTTCAATTTCTCCAGTTGCTCACCGTCAACTTCAATACAGGAATCGAACCTTCGTTGGTCCAGACGGGCTGCAATACACTTGGCATCATGCCAAATACATATGTGAACGACCACTACCCCGATGTCGCTACAGCAGACAAACTCATTTCGCATGGAACTTGAACAGCTCACCGTGGAGAAGAACGGACGTGACTACGAAGTTGCTCGATTTCATACAGGCTTCTTCTTCATGGGTAGAAAGCCGTACTTGGAAATAACGCAGGACGGTATGCATCTACTTGATTTAATCGTCATTACATGGGTCTATGTCGAGACGCGTGCACGCGATCAGAGCAGGAATGCCGCTACCAGTGCAGCTGGCGGGTCTGCTGGTGGAGCCGGCGGTGCAGCTGGCGGTGCAGGTGTGTGTTGACGAAGACATGGATTACATAGAAGAGAGTATATGAGGTATGAGAGCGTGCTCATGCACCGTATCTATTTATTGCTAGCCTATCTATGAAATATGGGTCAACTTCATCCTGAACCGCCTTCAGAACATGCTTAACCTCCATATAACACCGCTCAATTCTCCAGTTGAATACTGAAGGTGGGAGCTATGTTGAATATCGTCTCTTCCCTCGCGACGAAAACTGATAAATTTGTGTAGGGGATCTCTCAGAAAAGTTCATGGTTCTTCTCCTTCTGCATGGATTTACGGTCGTCATTTGAGTTTTCTGCTTGGCATGAGTTTGGAGGATACATTAAATCCATGACTCGAGTGGGGAAACTTCTACTCCATCGCCGGCCAAACTGGCCCTTCTTGAGTTCATGTCAGGTGCGAGATCAGGCATAACAATTGCGGAATAGGTTGACGCTTCATGAACACCAAACGCAGCAGTTGTCACTTGGTGGCGTCCCATTTGGTGCAGCGCGGAGCTGATTCCGAACGGATCGGAGAAGTGTGCTATATAGCCATCTCAGCGTGGCGTCTCCCTCCTCACCAACTCACTCGCAGAACATAGCAATGAACCTACACCTCTCTCATGATTCATCGACGCGCACAGTCCTCTGTGCCAACTCATCCACCACCGCGGACGGCGCGACGCCACTTTACCACATCTACACTCCACGGTCTCTCATCCGCAAGCCAACCACGATCTCTTCCATCGCGCCTTCCGTCGCTCACGACACTTCGTACAAATTCCAATCCAAAAAGACGTCGGACATCAAAGATCGCGCGGAATACCGAGGCGGCGTTGAAGGGATTGCCAACGTTCATTGGAAGTCCTTTGGCAGTAGTCTGATCGACTACCAAGGATGGACCATGAAGGTAAACGAGTTCATGCCAAGTGGAGGGTTCATGTGGAAGTGGGTACTCTAGCCGCTGTTATTTTTTCTTTGCTCTTCCAGTTGCTGATGACCGACATTGTCACAGGAATCGAACTTTCGTGGGTCCAGATGGACTACCGTATACATGGCATCACGCCAAATACGTAGGTCAACTCTCACTATTTCACTGTCGTCTGATGAACCCATCTCGCTTGGAACCTGGATAGCTCACCATAGAGAAGCATGGGCAAGAATACGAGGTCGCTCGGTATCACGAGGCCTCATGCATGAAGTTGCGTAAACCATACTTGGAAATAAGCCAGGAAGGGATGCATATGATCGACTTGATCGTGATTACATGGGTTTTCGTCGAGACTCGTAAGCGGGATCAGAGGAGGGCTGCTGAAAGTGGAGGAGGAGATGGAGGCGGCGGAGGGGATGGTGGAGGCGGTGGAGGTGGCTGTTAAGAAAGGAAGTGGTGTTGACCCAAAGATATACCTGTAATACATATCTGTCCAGTTGTGACTATGTATTCGAAAACAGTGTATCAGCGACGTTAAATAACGATATATCCTAACTTTGAACACCACTTCAACCTCCTTAACGTCGCAGTTGCAGCGTTGTCTTCGTTCCTACGCCAACTTGAAGCCTACCCGATCCAGTGACAACATCTTGAGATTCGACCATACAGAGAGCATGCTATGAAGGAAGTCATCCGAAAGGTCCCATACACATGCAAGTAACCGGATCTCGAGGTGTTGTAGATGGTCGAACTTGAGAAGAGGCTGAAGAAACCCCTCCCCGTCGATGCGATTGAACCACAAGTCATTTTCATCGCGATCTTTCGAGGGGGCAATGCAGAGGTATGTAAGGACCGCTCGGGAGCACGAATGGGCGATGGCCCCTGCAAGCTGCTCAGCGGCGATCGCAGTGACCGTGTCGTCACGATCATATATGTACCGGAATGTTCGGAGAGATGGGAAGTAGCTGGATTGGAGGACGTCGATCAAGCCATCGAAGTTCTTTGGGAGGAGACTGAGTGTGGTGAGAGCAGTGAATGTGGCGGTTCTGGAGGTGAAAGGTCCAGTTGGAGCGGCGAAGTGAACCTTCTGGACTGCGAGTGAGGTGAGAACGGGCAATTGGGCAGCTGTTCGCCATTGAATGCCATCCATAAGGTATACAGAGACTGTAAGGTCTCTGAGATTATTGCCGTTTCTCAGCAACATAGTCCACATATCTTTTGCGTCAGAGTTCACTGTGTGCAATCCAACGACCGCGATGGTCAGATGGGCAAATGTTGGCGGTAGGTCCTCGATAAGTTCGTTGATTTGGGAGAGGCCCTCTTCAATTTTGAATGTGACTAATGAGCTTGAAGTTTTGAGAATAAAGCGAGTTTGAGCGACCTGACACCGTATGTCGTGCGTCAGGTCACGTAGCTTGGGGAAGAGCGTGGATACGAAGGGAAGGGATTCCGATAGCGCAATTGTGTTCCGTACATAACGACGGACTGCTAGCGACTTGATCCTGGATGAATACATGAAACCGATCTGCACATCCTCTTGAGTGAGGGATCTCCCCTACCCAATTTCCAGCAGCGACAGAATCAGATCCCGCTCGCAACTTGGAAAAGTGTACGAATTCGACGTACTAATGTGTAACTCTTCCTGTTGAGTAGTATATCGTCATCGTTAGGGAGCCAATCTTCTTCGAGTAGTAAGCCAGGGATTGAATGCAGGAGGGGGAGGAGACTGTGCTGTGTCTCCCAGATGGCGTTCAAGGTGGGATCGCGGAACACTCTAGACGTAAGTCCCAGCGAAAGCACATCCTCGGGGCTGGAGCGAACTGTACGATGGGTTCGATGAGTTCGGGTACGAGGAAGAGTTTGTGCATTTGAAGTGCATAGGCGGTTTGCAGGCGCCCATTCGCAACTGATTCCGGGTTTGCCTGAGGCCAGTGGTCTGAGACTCCGTTTCGCATCGCGGACAAAATATGACACTGTGGCTGCGTCCAGCACACATAGACATAGTTCTACGACACCAATTTTCAAAAGTCAACTCGAATGCACTCTACGATGTCGGAGACCGGTTGGTTGAACAGTAGTTGAACTTGCGACGAACTGCACCGTGACAATGATCTCCACAAGTTCGGGGATGAGAAAGGTCCTGCACAATTCAGGTTGTGAAATGTGCTGGTGAGAGTTGTGGTCTGTCCGTGCTACGTATAAACAGAGCAAGTGCCACCTGTTTCACTTTTCTGAGGGCATTCTGACACACCTTGCACCGTAAATTCGGTATGCAAAATGAGTAGATTTCAATCCTAAGTACATCGTTTCGGATTGAACAAGGATAAAAAATGAGGTGCTACCAGGGTTCGAACCTGGGTTTCGGGAAAGTGAGGCTATGATCATTTGACCCTGAAATCAAAATCCCGAGTGATAACCACTACACTATAGCACCTTTTCCTGAAAACCTTCTTACTGCACAATATCGGTCGGATGGTCGGAAGTAGTTTAGAACTTTAGAGAGCCCGGAGGGACGGTGGCAGAAGCACAGATTAGCAATATTGGATGAGCCACAGTACGTTACCGCAACCTGCTGCTTAATAGAAGGAAAGAGCGCGTCCTCTGATTACAATCTGGGTATCACGACTCGAAGAGCCCAACAGCTCGAGACTGCACGACCATGAGTGCATAGCAGTCCAAAACACAAACGATGGTTGTCGTCAAGACTCATTAACGTCTCAAGTAAGCACAGACAAGTCCTGAGCACATGCGAATATACAATACATGGTCCTCATAATGATATAAAAAATGTAGAGTCGAATATATTCTAGTATCCTGACGGTTTCGCAGCAACTTGCGTAGTATCGTACGCACGAATGAGCCGTGCCTGATCCTGCTTCGTCCCATTCTCCGTCTGACTGAACGCGAAGCCACGGTTCCGACGCATGCGCTGCACCGCACGCACCTTTTTGATGGCCTTCTGGAACCTGGGATGTGATCGAGTGGTTAGGGAAAAAGACTCAATAATTGTAGAATAGGGCGTGCACGCACTGTTCTTGTCTTGGCCGGTAATCCGGAATGTTGTACTTCTGGATCTCCTGTGCGATATGGTAGCTTTCCGGCATGTATGTTCGTCGATAGCTACGAAGATTTGCTCAGTGCTCACTTTCACAAACCGAAGCATTGTCCACTTACTACTTCCACGCAAAGTCTCGCGAGAGACAGAATATCGGTATCAAGATCAACACAAAGTAGAAAACGCCATCCGTCCACAAACGGGGAACAATACCCCGGTACTCCGTAGAGAAACCGATGGCTGGCGCAACGACGGCGTAAAGTGGTAAGAACAGCATTGTGAAGACGAATGATCCAGGGATGGCTGCGACAGTGTACTTCGTCCACAGACTATTCCAGGGGTCAGTTGGTTGCGTGAAGAAAGACACTGGAATACGTACTCTGATATCAGTGCGGCTTTTCCGAGCACAGTCAGGAGAACTGCCAGATACAGAGTGGTCCCCCAGAACCAATGACCGGTGTCCAAACCATCAGCCTGTTTCAGGTCGCCCCAGAACAGGATAATGGAGAATCCGAATAAAACCTATACATCGACATAAGTAAGGAACATTACTCGAGGAACCCAATGAACTCACAAGACTGTGGTACATGGCATTTCCAACCCATAACCAGAATTGCGTCCGAGTGAAGAACGCGTTCTTCTGACCAAGGATGTAAAGCTGAGGGTAACGATCCAGGATACGGGCAGAAACGAATTGGTCGAAAACTCCGATGACGAAAGGTGGAAGAACCGTGAAAACGACGTTGTAGAGAGAAAGCGTCCATGACTCGTATGCGATTTGTCCAGAGAAGTTGTTGAAGAACGAATACTATGAACGGCAGGTCAGAATCGTTCGGTCAGCACATGTGTTTCACATACCCAAAACTGTGTCATGTAGAGCGTAATGTTTTTGTAGAAAGAGTCTAGAGAAGGAAAGTCAGCGACAAACCAGAACCTTAGTCGAGACGACGTACAAAGGATGAGTTTTGACAATCGCTGGTAGCTCCAAGCACCATGTACGAGCAGTAGTTTCTTGAGATACCGGAACTGTGAGATAGCTACATCTGCAGAACGCGCCGCTTGCAGACCCTGCGAAGATGTTTAGTCACCAGGGCGTAGGTCCAATTCTCAAAAGCTCGTACCTCAACACCTGAGATACCAACTCCAACGTGTGCAGCCTGAATCATGCTAACATCGTTCGCACCGTCGCCAATGGCCAGCAGGATTGATTTGGAATTCTTCTTGACGAGCTTCACAACCAAGGCCTTCTGCAGAGGAGAAACACGACCTAAGATACAGTAAGTTGGTGTTTTCCGTATATGAATGCATGGTATTCACAGCAAATCACGGCTTTGCACAAGATCGCGAGTTCGAGGAATGTCTTGGAAATCTCCTTCTCCAAGGCCCATGTCAAACTTTTGCCGTCTGGAAACAAGTCAGGTTTCATATAAGAGGGCATTGGCACATTGGCCACTCACCAATGATTAGCGCAAGGTCTTCCAGTTCGCCAGAATTCCTTTGGCTTTTGATAGCTTGTAACCGCTTGTTGATGAATTCGTACGTGTCGTGTTGGTTGTCCTCGTTAATGATCACCAAGTTCATAGATTCAGAAATTAACCGGCAAGACATGCCAATGTTGATAGCAGTCTCCTGTCTGTCGCCGGTTAAAACCCAAACCTTGATTCCGGCCATCTGCAATGTGTGGATCGTATCCGGAACACCGTCTTGCAGTTTGTCCTCGATAGCGGTGGCGCCGAGCAAAAACATGTCTCGCTCGATGAGTTCTGCTGCAGCATCAAGAGCGTCACCGCGCCCGTTGATGGTGGCCGCAGCCTTCTCGTAAATCGACGCGAATTGACGATACTCCTGATCTGGAATATCGCGGTAGGCGATGCAGAGAGTACGCAAACCTTCGGTGGCATAATCCTGGGAGTGTAGCGTTCAGTGCCAAGGGTTGTTTCGTGAACTAGGGGAAATCTTACCTCAAGGTGAACCAACGTCTTCTCAGTGTACGGTTGGTTGTCACTCAAGCGTTCCAGAATGACGGTGTCCGCGCCTTTGCAGTATAGCTTCACCCTTCCGTCTGGCGTGCGAACGACGACAGACATCCGCTTGCGAGTTGAGTTGAATTCGCAAACGTTCAAGATCTCGTACTCCAACGATTGTCCTTGGACATTGATGAAGACCGATCTAGGTTTCCGGGTCTATGCGCTCCTTTAGATACATGGTCATACATAAGGTCAAAATGACTCACGTGGAATTGATAGCCAAGCTGTTCTGCGCCAGAGACCAATGCAGCTTCGTCTGGACTGCTTGCTTGATAGTGCAATTTCCCTTCCTTGACCTCCGGAATGACAGTATGGCAGACTGCCAGCAGTGTAATGAACTCATTGATCACGTCTCGCTCCGTACTAGACCCGGCACGAGGGCGATCGGAGAACGGGTCGGTCCCATTGCCATCCAGGATTGCACGCATTTCCGCGAACGTGCGCCAGCCCTCCTTGCCATCCTCGCCATCGCGTTTGCTTTCGTCCACAACGTCCGCATAAGCTACTCCGGCGATGCTGCAGCAACGGAATTCCATTTCGTTACACGTGAGAGTCCCGGTTTTGTCGCTGAAGACGTATTCGATCTGTCCTAGTTCCTCTACGAGAGACGAAGTGCGACAGAGAGCGGGAGTGTCGGTTTTCGCGTAGTACATGTCCAAGTCCGAGTTGATCAGTTGCGCCTGTTGAAATTTGACCACTTCCATAGTGACGATGAGAGAAATGGGGATCAGGTTGTTATACAAGATGATGAACGTTAGTATATCTGGGGATTCGTTAGTTCTACAACGGAAGTTGGGTCTCTGTAATGATCTCTAACTTACCCTCGATGAATCCCTTGGCTACAGGTAAGACGATGATCAGCATGAAGCTGTGACAAGAGTGATCCAACACACGCACCTCTTCCTGATATCGAAGATTCTTCAAAGAGGTACCATTGCCGACTTGAAAATACCCACTATTAAGTGATGTCATGCATGAGTTGCCTGCTCGAAGCATAACTTGTCTGCAAGCTTACCTCTCGGATACTACTACCAATTGTCGAACCTATTGACAATGCCAGGAGCAAGATGAACAAGAAGACGATCTGCACATTGACCTGGCGTTCAACAGCCGTTCTCTTGATAGGAGCCGCACTGCAAACCTGTTCAGCGTCATAAATCGCGAGGTCAGAGCGCGGCAACGTACGTAGCATTCCGCATCAGTTTCGTTTCGTGCCCTGTGAATACAACCAAGCCGTATGTCCACGGCGTGTTTCGTATCTGGGCACCTCTGAGCAATATCTGGTCGGGACCAAGAGGTACTTGCTTCGGTACGCCGTGCTCCGTGAGGAGATCCAGGGTACCCTCGAAGGTATATAGAGAGCTGTTTGGGTGTTCGGAACGAAGGGAGCCATGCAAGGTGGTGACAAGCCGGGGTGATGTGAGCTGCGAGGTCTGAGGGGAAGCTTGTTTAATCTTCAAATTCGTTTCACTGTGTAATTGACACCATTCTCATTCAGCTGTGGCGAGAAGATTTGGGAGAATCACGCACCCGTCCAGATTTGCGGTCTCGATGTAACACAGGCCCTCAGGTTCACTTGATGTAAGGAGGATGACATCGGCCGGAATGAACTCGTCGTTCTCCATTCGAATGACGTCGCCAGGCTTTAAATCCTTCCACTTCCGTTCGATGAATGTCCCCTCCATAGTCAATACTTTCGTCATGCGAGCATTCAGTTCCTTGTCAGATTGATGTCGTTTCTGCGCGAGAGATGTGAGTCTGCTTCATTCTATCAGAATTCTCTCCAGATATGCACTCACCAGATCTTCTTGGGACTCCTTGAGTGCAGACGCAAGAAGCACAACAGCCAGAGGGGCAATAGTTGTGTACCTGTTTGTTGGTGATACGCCGGGTATTTGTTGGATACATACAGTGAAGAGGAAGAACAGGTTCGCATATTTGGAGAATTGCTCTGTCCGAAACAAAATTGAGTTGTATGCAAGTGATGAACACAAGCAACCGACGCACCGAAAAGGAACTTCGGGAGGAACGTAACGGCATTGTACTTTGTCGTAGAGATATAGTTGTTGGAGAAATGGGTATTCGCAGCAGGATTGTTCAGCGCAATGACTCGTTCCCCCTCCAACACCTTTTCTTCCCGTTTCCACGGCCACTTCCACTTTCTTGACTTCTTCGCGGCTGCAGGCTGGTTGTATGGTGTCGCAGGAGGACCAGTCCCTGCAAACGGTGCAACCCTGCTATCCACCACAGGCTCGTCCCAGTCCTGTAATATATCTCGTTCCGGAAGTGTCATTTGAGATAAACCAGCAGGGGCTGCCGCATTCCTTGTCAAAGGTAGCCCGCTCTCCTTCG